CACACGTCTGCCTGCCGTTAGGTAAATATAGCTACAAAATGCGGCGGCGGGGTTCGCATCCGATTAGTGGTTACAATGGGGAGCTTTTTCGGTCAGGGGGAGGAGAGGGGGAGGGGCGGCATGCGCGCAGAGCGTGCGGTGCTGGCGCTCGCATAGTGAGCTATGTCGGTACGAAGCATGGGAATGTGGGGGGGGGGGATGCCACGCAAACCCTAAAACCGTCCGATCAAACGCCAATCAAATCATATTTTTTTTTGGTATGCTTGGAGTGCTGGAGTGGAATTTTTGGCCGAGGTCACTCTATTTATCGGGACACTGATACCGTGAGCCCCCCCACCCCCCACCCAAAAGAAAAAGAAATAATCCCTCCTCCAATTCACTTTACCCTGAATAATATACTATCCCCACACGACACTGCACTACTGCACTAGCGTCCGCCCCTCCAAGAAACGTTCACAGTACGTTCGGTCAGATCAAGCAGCACTAGGGCGGGACCAACAGTGGGATCGAAGCGATCGAAACCAATCCTTGCACCCTCCCCCACCCTGCCCCACCCCGCCACGACAGGCACGGACAGCAGGCCGGCGGCGTGAGTTCTCACGCGGAGCGGACTGCTCACAACGCAAAACGGCAGCAGTGGCCAGCTTCTTCCGGGCGATGGTCGTGTCAGACGAAGCGTGAGCGCCCGCTATGTTGCACCGCTTCCGTCCGTTCCGTCCGTTCCGTCCGTCCGTCCCTGATGCCACCCAACCCGCCGCAGACTCGAGGACGACTCCTGTTGAACAGTGAGCGAAAACGGAGACAGCTGAGCACACTTCAGTGTCGTCGTTACGAATCGAAGGTTAGTGTTGTTTGGAATCTCCATCGGAAACAAATATTTTCCAAATAATTTGGAGCTGAGCTCGGAGTTGAGATCAAAATGGCGTAGTGGTTAACTTTCTATAGGTTACGGGACTTAGCACTGGACCCTGTGTTTGACTCTGGTCGTTCTGGCTGGGGTTCGACTAACACGAAAAGCGAGTGAATCTGGCCTCACAAACAGAGTTCTAAGCTGTGCAGTTTAACTCACATACGCAATTTCAACCCTCACGCTCTGTCTGTCTGTCTGTCTGTCTGTCTGTCTGTCTGTCTGTCTGTCTGTCTGTCATTCAGTTTCTGTCTCTCTGTTTCTCTCCCTCTCTCCATCCCTCTGTCGCTAACACCCCCCAGTCACCAGCGAAGCGGGAGTGTTCGCCATGCTGCCCCACCGAGTGCTGTTTAAACAGGGTGGTACGGAGCAAAGTCCCAGAAGCGGGGCCAGCGGGGCCTAGAGTAAGAGGCTGTGAGAGGCTGCCCCGTGCGCGCGGGGCTGGTGGTGGTAGCCTTATGTGCACCGAATCCCTTCCACCTAAGCTCCGAAGTTAAGCAGATGGACCCACGGCTTGTCCGAGACAATGTAGAATAATTGGAGGTACACGCAGATATTTTTTTTTAAAATCCTTGATTTATTGAAATAAAAATATTTTCGTTCGCCTCTTTCAGTGTCGTCTCGTATCCGTCCATCTTTCCTAATTGGCCCGATCCCCCCGACTCCGTCTGAGCCGCGGGTCCTCCCGGGTCCGCGCCGGTCCGACGTTGCAGAGCCCGCACGGCGAACATCGCCTTTGCCCGGAGTCGCGAGCCTTGAACTGACTGAGCCCGGCGCGCCCAGGACTCGAACCTCTCTCTCTCTCAGACCTTCGCTGCACCGTTGAAAGCTTACGGTGAGTTCCGCTGTAAGCTGTCGCTAACCTCGACGCGAGGGGGCGGCCACTCCCCTTTGAAGCTGCACACGATTCCTAGAATCACTGTAAAAAGTTTTGTTGGAAATTTCCAAACATTTAACTGGAAAATTTGCACTCCGAACAGTTTGGAAAATGTAAAATCCAAACAGTTCAGAAACATAATTTTCCAAAACTGTTTGAAAAGTTCCGAACTTTTTGGAAAATATTCATGAACTTGGGACTAACAGTTTTTTCCCAACAAAATGTTGGAAAATTATGTTTCCAAACTATTCTGACAAATTTTTGTTGGAAAATTCAGACTTACATTTACAGTGATGCTTTGGTTCCCAATGACGAGTCCCGTCCGCTTTTGTGAACACTGTACGATTTCTAGTGGCAGAAAATGCTTATTTCGACTAGCTGCGTCTTTTGCTATTTGTAATGAAGCCTAGGGACCCATGCCATCACGTTGCGCGGAGCGATAAACGGAGCGCAACGTCTGCATTGACAGCACCATTACTGATTTTCTGTATTAAGTTAGGATTTTTGTTGGTTTAGGTTCGCTGGTTTAGGTTTGCTTCTTGCACCACCTGCTCTACCCGTTACAATGCCAATACACGGAGCCGACGCTGACATGCAAAGGCGATTCTCGGAAGTCTTATTATTCCGCCTCCCTTATCTCCCCCCCCTCCCTCATTGATAGCAGCCAAAACACTGACCGCAACAAAGCCTCCCCCCCCCGCCCCTCTTTACCCCCTGTTCGCGTCCTTTGTTGCAAATTTCGACCCCCATAGGGATAGGGCTGGTCAACGAGATATTCGGCGCACCATCAGCTTCATGTCAGCCTGGCGATCGGGGGTTTACTGCCACATTTTCATGGGGCTGACCGGAGATTGGCCGAGAAGAGGGCCCCACAAACAAAACGACGACGCTGTCTTCTCAAGAGACTTGCCATCTAGGGGTGAG